ATGTCTTCGAATTTGCATAACTGAGCGGCATTATTATCAATTTTTGTTTAGCGCAAATTATCGTGGGAGAATGAGAGGTTCGTTAGCCACGTGATTTTAGGCGATAGAATTTCGCTACAAGTTTGGCATCAGTAAGTATGTGCCGGGTCAGACGACGCTCAACGTTTCATGCGCTTGCAAGTCCACGAAAGACAGGCCGAACAGCTGACGCCTTCGTGTGCTGTCCGTCTCGTCTCGGCTACCTTGTCATCTGTCTCCGAAATTCGCCGTGGGGGTTACCCAGGCATGACGTAGATGCACGCTATTCTGGTCGGCTCGTGACGTCGTCCTCGGGACATCCAGAAATAAACCCGAGTGGCGAGCTGCTGGCTTCTCAGTCTTTCTGTCTTTCAGCTACCTATCTTCTGTCTTTCCTCTTATCTCGAATGAGATAGGAGAGAGAAGTAGGAAAGAGAGAGAGATGTGATTACTGTGTGACGGGTAAGCACGTCGACGATCTGAGAAAAATTCCGATTTTACGTCAATGATGTAACCGTAAAAAGTTTCGAAAGACGCTTACGGAAAATCATCGAAATTAGATCGAAAGCGCCGCTTACAGTTCTTTACTTTTTCAAAATTACATCTTTTCCGAGCAGCAAGGTTCATTGATGCACACTCGCCTCGCGAAAATTCCTTCCGGATTGATCAATAGGGGATCGTGGGGGAACGTAAAGATTTTGTAATGATTTCGACCGCCACTAGAAAGATTTCTCCGGATCTTGCTTCACGACGTTTTCAAGGTCTTTTATTCCCGCTGTCGTAAAATCGCATTATGCTCCCCAATAGCGGACGGGCGTTACCGATCGATTTACCCGATTGAGAAAAAGGGGGAAAAAGTTCGCTGTAGCGCGATAAATCTTGGTCGTCTATTTTCTCCCAGATACTCTCGTAGTCGTTTTTCTCATAGTTTCGCGGTTAGTAGTTCGAGATCCAATCGAGCGTTCTCACTCTCCCTTTCGTTTTATTTATCACGATAAAAATTTCTTGTTCTTTTTTTTGTAACTTTGAGATGGTAGATCTTTGATCGTTTGATTCTGTTTAGCGTAAGATAATAATGCGATCCAACAATATCCACAGCAGGAAAATTAGATTAAAAAGTAGATTAAAGTAATTTTCAACACCTCTAACGTCGCTAAAAGTATTAGAGATACGCGAGGCAAAAAGTTTCCTTCGGGCGACTGTTTGATCCAAAGTGTTGAATCTGAAGGACGTTACGGTTACGGGTGTAAATAAGAAAAATTTAATTAGCTCACTACTATTCCGTGCGGGGTGCTCTTCTCTTCGCTCGGATAATGAAGCAACGCAGGCGGCCAGCTGGCCACTTGCGGGCGCTGGAAGAACGGCACGGGTAAAACCGGAAAATGGTAGAAGAACGATGGCCGTTGGTACACGCTACGATTTTGCTTTATTTTCCTTTTCCCTCAAAGCGGATCTCGCTCCGGCGAACGATGGACGCTTTTTCGCGGCCGGCTGCATCAAACCGGCTCCTTTTTTCTCTCCTCTTTGCCTTTCTTTCGCTATGGTCCCACCCTTTCCTGTCCCTGTTCTCCGTCTCTCCTTTTATCGCGTTTTACGTTCTCTCTTATCTCTCTGGTACCAGACATAAATATATTTCCGCGCACGGCAAACGGTGCCTTTAAACTTTGCGACCTGCACTCCGCGCGCTTATTCTTTATAGGCTCGAACTTCTCGTCGAAAAAATGAAATGTAATCTTTCACATTTTACATGTTTGCAGTAATCATATGCATTATAATGATTGTCACACCGAAACTGAAAATAGTAGTCATGAGCAAATTTAACATAAACTTATTTTCTTTTTAATTTTATAATGCGGGAGAATTACGCGTAAATCGCGTATCGAAAATATTTAGTTAAAAAATGATTCGATCGAATATTCAAATATTATGAGTTTCAATGTTATTATTTTTTTATTGAAATAAAATAACAGGTAAAACAAAAATTTGCATACATATTATTGAATGTATTTTTGTGGAATATATTAGATTAATTAGATATTTGTTTGTTATTTTTTGTCTTTTAAAATAACAAGAAGAAAATGTGGACTTTATAATCAACTAATCAAATTGTTGATCAATTTTTGGACAATATTTTCTGTTGAAATAATATCATATTTTCTGGAACAGTTCTAAAAGAAGTTGTTCGTAAAATAACGGCTGAAATAATAACGATTTAGAACGATTTATTTGATGGTAGCAGGACGCTTTTGATGGCATCTCATCATCATGGATTGCGCAGCTTACGCGGTCGTAATCAGCTTGTAAAGAGCGTTCAGTTTGATCCCTCTTACTTTGAGATTGAATGTTTTGCACATAAATATCTCTTGTGGTTAATAATAGCTGCAATAAATTTTTAGAACTTATTTTATATAAGAAATGTGTGTTTTTTACGGTTTTTTATTATATCTTTTTCTAACTCAATCAAGTATGAAGTTTTTTTTATTACTTATATCTTAATTAATCTTTTTTTTTATTGTTCAACATTTTGTTCTTCTACTTTTCACATTTATCATCCTCTTTCTTAATAAGATGTAAATGACTAAACTTTCTTATAAAAGTTTTTGTAAGTTCTTGGTCAGAGTACAAGCCTGATTATACATAATATAGAATTATATCTCGAAAATAATGATCGATATTGTACGCATATTTTTTTATTTATTGAATTTCTTTCTTTTTTTTCGACCAAACAACATAGTTTTTTGTTATTTTTGAATATCACCTCTGATTCAAATATGACGCTTTTTATTTGTTCCACTTTTTATTGGCATACAGAATAGGACATACAAACGAAGTTTTCAATCAGATATATGCAGTCACGTATTCCTTTTGTTTTCAATATAATCTATTTTGCAAATGGAATCAAAAGATTGCGTATACAATTTTAGAGATTTTTTAAAGCATTTCTCAGTTCGACTTTTTATTTCTCGTGTCTTTCAATGGTTGTGTGAAGAATCTTGTGTTGTCTAGGTATTTTAGTAGAGATAGTTTAGCTAGACTTGTAAAACCATAAAAATAAACTAGTGGAAAGTTTCTCGAACCCTTTTTCTATGTTTGATCTTTCATGACACAATTTATGTCACTTGACGAATATTTGCTAGGATTTTGAATAGTTGATGGATTGCTTGAATGGAGAAATTGACAACAAATTTTGATTAAAGAAAAACGATACAGAGATTATACGAACAATACAAAAAAGCCTCACAAGTTTAGCAATAATAAATAAGTAATGATGATAAGTAATGAAGTCATTTAGCCTTTTATTACATGTATAGTTATAGAATTATATAGTTTTGAAAACTAATTAGTTTGTCATGGAATGTGCAGATAATCTATCGATCTATATATAGAGACTATATATAGATCTGCGTTTTACATTAATGCTGGATATAGGTCAAGGCTGAAATAAATCTAATGTGGCATTAATTTTTTTTTTTATTATTTTTATGAGTGATTGTAATTATCTCTTTTAATATTGCATATGGATAAAATTTTTTATAGGCACTTTGTATGCACAAAGATTGCTCTACGTGATTTTCACAATATTTTAAAAATATATACCTACGTTTATTATGTAACAGATTGTTCGCATATTTTATCTCTTTCGGCCTTTGGCTTTATAATTACTTCATAAAAGCTTTTCTATGTTATGAAAATATCTATGTCATACAACGTGTGCCGGGAAAAATTATAGAGTCTTTCGAAGAAGTAAAGATACGAAAGTTAAATTAAAAACAGCTTTTTAAATCTGTAAAATCGATCATCGATTTTTTCTTTTTTTCCTCCGTTATATCGCAAAGAAGTCGAGAAAAGGGAAGTCGATTACCTACCACTCGGATAACGTTCCTCTGTGACGTCATCGTTCAATAGGATAACCTGCATAACCTCAGAGAGAATGTAAAAGTGGGTCAGGGATGCAGATCACGGGGTGTCAAGTCAATGCAGCCTGCAATTGCACCGTCATTGTTTATTCCTTCGTTCTTGTTTTGTGGCGACTTTTAAGACTTGAAAGATGAAAGTTTCTGTATCTCTTTAACTTCTTTTCTTAATATATAAAGTCTTACATCTAACAATAAATTATTTGCCGTTTAGTCGATATTTCAGAAGAATCATTATACATAATTAGGAAACTGCTAAGATTAAATATAGATATCTATAATTTTACAACGAATAAATAAAAAAAAAATGAATTAAATACTACTCTGTAAAAAACCGTCATTTTTATTAGTGCAAAAGGAATATATATATTTATAAACTTATAACAATAAACGTAAAAAGCCTACAAATTTTAACTACTTGCATAGCTCAGGATAATTATGTTTAAAAGATCTTGACATAAGTGGCTATTTCTATATATGAAAAGAGTTTACCTAGAATTTTTCGAAAATTACACAATTGCAGTTATTAATTTTTAATAATTTAATATAAATTACTATAATATTATAATATATTACAGTAATATATTATATTTTATTATATTATTATAAACAGTTTAATTATATTATTATATTATTAACAAATAATTAACGGTTATGAATATTAACATGCAAAACACGCATTACAACACGGAAGAAAAGGATTAGCTATATAACTAACATTTTTTGCAGCGAGAGGTATAATTTAGCAATAGTAGCAAAACTTTAACGAAAGGTTTTCACGGAGTTATCACTGAGTCATCCAACCAACTGAATTGTTGGCTCTTTTTTATATTATTTAATTTTATAGATTTATACATACTTTTTTTAAATTGTGTAATAATAAAAATAAATGTTTTTTTCTACAATACAGAAATCAATTTGTTTCATTCTATTAAAAAAGATAGTTATTTCAGTAATGTCCCGATGTTATACTATATAAAAATGTTTTATATATTTTTGAAATTACGATATTTAATTGCGAGACACGTTTCTAAAAAAAAATTATTTTATTTGTGATTTTTGTTCCAGGTGAGTCTAATCACTTTATCGACGGTCAAGAAGTTCCTGTAACTATGGGCTTCACGCATCGTCCAGCCCGAAAGAATGCAGGTATGACTTTGTCTTTCTTAAAAAATATATTTTATCTTGTATAAAATTTACGTCTATCACTGCTATAAGATCTGCGTAACTGATGAGTAACTGATGAGTCTTTTAGCCTATTTTATGCTTTAAAAATGCATAAATTCACCTAATGGTCAGTAATAATCATATACTCGTAAAAAAACCGATGTAGTATTTCTTCCATTAGTTTCATGGTTTTTATTCATATTTAAGGAGAAAATATTTGCTTTAAAAATAAAAATATCTGTGATAACAAAAGCTATCCTTAAAAGCTAAGTAAAGAAGTAAGCAAGGCAGTGCATGTTAAGAATCGTTTTTTTATTTAGGCACACACTTGTATGTTAATATAGGTTACATGTATATATAGTCTAATGATTACAATCTTCATGAACCACGTATGTATGTACATACATATTATTTAGTTGAAATGACTAACGTAACACACGTTGAAGTTCGTCAAATATGTTTCACCGTATTTAAAATATCGCGGCGGAATTGCTTACATAAGAATCGAATCATGAATTGACTTCAAGATAGTAAAAGCCAAAGTACAGTGATTCGCACTTTTTGCCCCTCGATTCAGCTTTATGACTGTAGAAACGCACATTTGTAATGCCCGTGAACCGGTCAAGCTACAGCTTCCTTTTCGTTACAATGAAACTACAACCATTCGCCTGTGCAACCGGAAAGGATGCGCCGTTGTACGGGAAATAGCGCCATTAAATTTGACTACAGCTACATCGTACGACTCTTGCGTTTCCTGTCGTATCGCTTCGGCCTGTATTCTTGATACATCCGTGGAAAAATTTTACTAGTTCTCTAGACTTACGACTATTTGCTTCCTTTACAAAACTTGCATGTTTCTTCATACCTGATGTAAATAATTTAATAAGAAGACGTCTTTAGAATTTTATGTCTTTCCTGAGATCTCTCTACTGTGTTTATTTTTATAAATCTGTTGTTACAAGTAAATTGACTTGTCAGTTATCTGTAGATATTGTTTCTACCTTGTCTACTCATCTGACGAAGTGTAATTAGCAAAGTGCGTAATTAGCAAAGTGTAATTAGGTTCATTTTTGTACTATTACTGTTGCTCAAATACCTGCTGATCCCATTTTACGTTAGGCCGAAACAAGAAGTATTGGCATGTCTCTCGTTATTTTTCGATGTACTCTCGCGGAGTAGATACATATTGTACGACAGCTGCAACCGAGACATCCGTTGAGATTTCGCTTCGTCAGAGAACAACGGCAACGTCTTTTCCGTGATGGGACAGAGGCACGAAGGGAAACTCGAATGGTTATTGAAGGAAATAAGGTCGCTGAAAGAAAATTGCAGACTGTCACGTGAAGCATTTCTCATGTTTTGATTCTTTGTCGGATCTCCTTGAAACATGAATCTGACAATAAGAATTTGTATTGTGAGAAGTCTGTTTATATTTAAATCTTTTTGATTTTGATTATATTATATATATATATTTTTTTTGCATTTGTGCAATGAATATTTACTTACATATGTCACTAACGACACAGAATTTTGTATAGCTAAAAAAAATTAATTACTTTTTATTCCAATTTTCTCTTGTTTGATAATTTCGTACCTATTATAGGTACCTATGTGCTGGGCACCATTCGAACGTACGCGTTTCCTTTTGTTGCCTTTCATTGCACGATTTTATTATTTATTACTTAAACTCACGGTCGAACGTTCCTGATTGACGTAGTTAATTCTTAAGGAGTTAAACTGCTGGATGGAGAAGCCGTGCAGGAAGGCAGGATCGTTAAGTGAAATAGAAGGGAAGCGTTCGTAGCGAGCCACAATTGCTGCTTCTCCGACGAACGATTTTCATGAATATTCATTTCCGCATCCTCTTATGAGCATCGTAAACACGCTTAGCTTGCTCCTCCGAAACGCGAATCTATACGTTCATTTCCGCGGTTACGCGTTTCTTTAATTAACGAAATTCAACTGTCTCCAGCAAGATGGAACACTTTTCGCGAAGTTTATTACACTTTAAGAAATATCTAATTTAGTTGCTATTAATTATGCAATAAATCGAACTTACCCATTGTCACTTATTTAATTAAATGCGAATAGATGGAAAGAAAACTTTTGAAGTGAACTCGAAATTTTTTTACTCGAAACTTATCAACAATAAGTATTAATGGGTTAAAGGCAAATTAGCAGAGAAGTTAGTGTCCCCTTCTAATATGCAATAATTCCAAGCGTCTCTCGGTCGTTCCAAACGTCGTGCAATGTCAGTGTGCGTCTCTTGATTGGTATTCCGTGATGCACCGAATCGTCTGATAATAATGCTTCCCTCGCCCTCGCTCGTTGACCTCGTTTGCCGTCAAGAATATTATTCCAAATGCAATCATCTCGTAATCAATTTATTCTACATCTTTCGTCGAAAAATCGCTACATTTATTGATCTCAATTCGGTTCGCAATAACACTCATGGGATGTTGACTCACCATTATAATTGCGCTTTTTACGTAGCTGCATTTTTTAAATTTCTATTACGCGTTCCCGGCGCATAGTGCCATAGTACATCGATTGGCGGGCTTGATGGTTTGCAAACAAAAGTTAAACAAAAAGTAAATCTGCGCTTAAATTAATCCGTTCGCGACGTGAATTCACGTGAAAGCATCAGTATTCCTTTGTCATGGTACTCCTGGTTATACACATTTCCAAGAACACACACTTCTTACGGTTTTATGATGGGACTGCTGGCGAAATATGCGGGCAGCATGTCCAGCTTCAGAGCCGTTATCCATTGCATTACAGCGAGACGATGCAGCTGCACCGTGGTTTCCTGGACCGGATTACCCATCAGCGGGGTGTAAATGGCACCGGTCATCGCTATATCGCTCTTAAATCATAGAAGTCGTGAACCCTCGAACGTGCGCTCCGTTTTTCCGCAAAGTGCATCGGACGATGCACTTGACGAGAATTGAAAATACGGGTGCGGCGTCCCTCTTCGCATTTCCGAGACACGTTCGCGAGTTGTAACGTTGAACGAAGTCGCTCCGTATTTTCCTCATTCCTTACAACGTGACGCGCGCGCCACGCAGGCACAACTGTCTCGTTCTCGATCGCATTTCCACGTGGAATGCACACGAGGATATACTATTTTCCACTCGCGATCTATCCGGTTGTATCAATGTTGTTTGACATACGCGTTATTTTCTCTCTCATCCGCCATTGATGCATCTTTGAGCATCATCCTCGCGAGAACATATTCGCACTACACCGCTTACGATTTATCAGGCGGGCTAAGTCCTTTGCTCTACCAACAGTTAGGGTCGAGTAAGCCGGGATTAGCGAGTCTCTCCTGCTACTGTTTCCTTCGTAGATTATAGTCTAGCCCATGATACAGACGAAGAAAGAAAATTTACTTAACCAAAGTTGGCGCTAAGCTAACGTTGATGCAACCGGCTCTCTTCTGGCCGGGGAATTTCATTAGATTAATCTCGGCGTTTCCTTGTCTGCGTAAAATTTATCCCATCGCGAATGCTCGCAATCTGGAAAGTGCAGCAATGATTATGTGCTGCCGAAGACATTAATGAGAGAAAGAGAAGGGAAATTTAAGCTTGTCCGTAGATCGCACGGACGCAATTCGCTCGCAGCTAAGCTCCCGACGGGTCATTTACTTCGAAACAGTTCAGGTCTTAGATGCAATGCCACGCCGGTGTCGTATACGTCAGCGTCAGGAAGGCACGATCCGACACCGACCTACAGCACCGAGAAATCCGCTTTGCTTCCGCCAGCACTTTCCTGGCGTGTCGTTTTTTTCTTTTTATTTTCGCAGCTCGCGTTCCTTATTTAGCAACTGCGAAAAAGCCAGAGCGAAGAATTGCTCGAGCGGGCATCGAAAACATGTATCTGTGAGAATCCACACCGTAAAAATACTAAAGCCGCAAAGAAATGCGGCTCGCGGCTATGGAAATTCGCGGCAAGTCCGTAACGCGTAGATATAAATTTCTTTTAGATTTGTCAGGATGTAAGAAAAACGCGGTACCGCAAACAAATGCGCGATAAAATTATACCAATTATTAAAGAATACTAAAATAATATAAACCAAATTAAACTATTAATTTGGAGAGGATAATAATAAATATGGCTCTCTCTCTCTCTCATGTTGATTATAAATTGTGTATAATGGTTTCTATATATATATATACGACATCAAATTTTAAATCAATTGCAGATTGATTAACTGGATTTCATTATGAAATGCCAGCGTGTTGTTTTCGAAACCCGACTAAATTTAATTAATGGCATTTGAAATGTTACGCGGTTTTGTATTTTACGAAATGCTAGACGATGAGTCATTGAATCACTCTCGAGTGATATTATCATTCACGATACATGAAATTTTGCATAATTACGAATCAGCTATATAGGATTATTCATCTCGTCTCAACGAGAAAATTATTCTCACGAGACTTCATCTTCCAGCGAAAACTATTTTTAACGTCAAGTCGAATATGCAAACGTAAGGGAATATCGATCTCGAAGCGGCAGTCATAATTTTTATAAAGTTTACGGCATTCTGACGTAAATTCTGACTCCACCCCTCGTAGATTGCACGTTGTTACGGCGCAAAATAAATCTTCTCTCCCGAAAGGCGAGTTTAACGTCGTGATCTTCGCGAGTGCGACATTTCGCGAGGCGCGTTCCTCAGGCTTTACGATCTCATGCTTTTTATTCGTGACTTACGGCTCGGCGCGCGGGTTGATTCATTTATGAAGGTGCAAGGCGCTCGAGGAGACGTCTGGGCCCGCAACAGCCAGGAAATCGATTTCTTCAGGGGAATCTTAAATATCATTTCGTTCCGCTTCCGTTAGCGCGGCGGAGGTCCGCTTGGGCGAAAATCTTCGAGAGCAGACCAAACGAGACAGTATATAAAAGTTGCATCGAGATAAGGCTTCTTCTTGCGAAAGTAGCCGCAAATCATATTTTCCCGTTGCATTCCCATAACACGA